GTGAAGGAAAATAGGAGAGCAGACAGACTGTGAAAATAAACGCACACATTATGATCTGAATGTCACTGAAAGCAATTATTTACTTATATCCTGTCACTCTTGTGCTGATAGCTGCTACTCTGTCATGGTGAGACAAAAGATAATGAAATGTTTTTACTTTGACATCTGTACAAGTTGCACCGATTTCATGATGCAAGAATAAAATTACCTGGCATAACAGAATATACTGCTGGTTGGAATCTGTATCCAGGATGCTCTGGATGCCTAATTTAACATGTCCTGTTTATTTTGTCCATATTATTTTGTATACTGAATCATTTTTCATTCTCACGTATACCAGACATGGATACATTTGTTAGTACTTTTCATGCTCATTGTTACAAAGCTTGATTTCTTCACGAAAAAGTTCTTGTTTTTCTGTCAGTCAAGTTAACTTGCATGAAAGTTTTGGCATTTGTTTTACAAATGCCCTTCCTGATGCAGCCTTGGCTCATGCCTGCGGCTTCAGGATTACAAGACTGCGGCACTGACCACCGAGCTACTGCAACCCCTCATTTCTCAGTTAGCAGCTCAGTTTAATAAAGGTGCTTCATTGGTCATCAGTGCATGTTCCCATAAAATGACGGAATTTGTGCTCTGCATTTGACCCATCACATGTGAGAATTTTAATCTATATTTGCATGCCTTTACTTTGTAGTAGAGTAAACAAAACATGAAAAAAAACATTTGTTATTTACAATGGTACAGACAGATTTGTTAGTCCCCTTAAAGAGTCTTTAGTTTAGTCATGTTTTTACATTGCAGGTGGCTTGATGCTTTTCGTCAGACATTAAGTCTATGAAACAAATTGTTTCATAAAATTTTATATATTTTTTAATCAAATCTAATAAAATTAAGTCTTGGAAACAAACCTGCCACTGGATAGTTTGGTACTTTGATAGTTTGGTCTGTCATCGGCCCTAAATTATGGAATGACCTGCCTTTGCAGGTCAGAGAGGCCCCTTCACTGTCCACTTTTAAAGCTCGTCTTAAAACCCATCTATTTTACTTGGCTTTCAACACCAGCGGGATTTAGTTTTAAATTGTATGTTTTTGTTTTTAAACTGTTTTTAATCACTTTTTWWTWWKKTKKTGTTTTAATGTACAGCACTTTGTATCAGCTGTGGTTGTTTTAAAGTGCTTTATAAATAAAGTTGGTATGGTATGGTATGGTATTGCTACATGCTCCACACTGAACATGGAGCAGAAAGCAAGAGCTGTTTAATGAACTCAGAAGGAAGATTGCAGATATCCATGTCAAAGGTAAAGGTTACAAGACCATCTCCAAGCAGCTTTATCTTCCTGTCACCACAGTTGCCAGCATTATTAAAAAGTATAAGGTTCATGGGACTATAGCTAACCTCTCAGAATGTGAAGGAAAAAGGAAATGCAACGCCAAGTTGATCCGACGGATCATGGATATGGTATACAAAGAGTCAAGGAAACCAACTGAAACCATTCAAGCTAAACTTTAAGGTCAAAGTAGGTTTTGTTGCATTTTGAGTCATAATGAGACCCACAGAAGAAGAACGAGGGCTCCGTTGTTAACAGAGAATCATAAAAAAGCCGGACAGAAATTCCACAAAATGCATGTTGACAAGCCCCAAAGTTTCTGGGGCTGATGAGACAAAACTGGAGCTTTTTGGCCAGAAACATCAGTTGTGTTTTGGATTATTGTGGGAAAGCAACAAAATGATCTATGCTTAGGGGATAAACTAAAGACTGCACAAATCAAATTGAATATAATGGAAAACTAAATTATGCATACAAACGAAACATCTATAATACATGAAAAAACAACTGAATCATTATTTATTTTTTGAAAGTCTTTATTCATTTGTGCTATTTGGTCATATAAAAAAAATCTGCAAAAGTTTTATCCCACTGCGGAACTTTGAAAAATGTTCAATCCACTCATCAAAGAGAAGGGGGAAAAAAGACGTGAAAAGATAAGAAGACATACTAAAAAAAATCACAAGTTTTACATTCTTGCACCTCTTCTGTCTTTTATCTGGAGGAATTCTTTGAGCCATGGACTTGAGTTTAAAGTAAAAGTTTGACTAGAGATAATTTTACAACAGCAAGGAAAGAAAAAGGAAATAAATATTTAAGAATCATATTTTGTCATCATAAAAAGTATGTTTCCCAATATGTTGGTTGCAACTTGTGGGGGGAAAAAAATCTAAGCGAGGAGAAATGACAATAAAAAATGAGGGTAGGTAGTTAAAAAGGCAGAAAGAGGAATGGTGCATAGATTGTAACATGAGAACAACAGCGAGCAGTGATAAATGTGGGTTGCTTTGTATCCAGGCAAGCTGGGCTGCTGCTCCTGCTGTTGCTGCCTATGGAAAAGAAAACCTGTCTGAATTGATATGCTAATTTGATTGAGAAGGTGTGGGTGGATATGGAGAAGGTTTTAAGCTGCGAGGTGGGACAGAGTGCAAGAATAACAATGAAACGAGGCAAAGAATGGAAGAGTGGGAGTAGGAGACGTTATGAAGAGAAAAAGGAGATTGAAATGAAACAAATGGGAAGGAGTGGGATAAGAAGGGAGTTTAGGATGGGTTTGCACTTTAGGGTTAGAGACTTTACTGTCAAGACAGTGAACAGCTGTCAGTCAGTTGTGCAGTAGCAGCATTAGACATAGGCTGTGTCCAAACTCATGTCCTCTGAAGGCCGAATTTGTCTGCCGCATACGTCACAGCGCTGCGACGGAGGCTGTCCAAATTTGAAGCCCCGATGTGGCCAACAAATGCGTCCTTTTTCCTCAAGTTGAGGGACGGGTCCGATGAATCCTTCTCTGTTCACCCTTATCCCATAATGCATTGCGAGCCGATGGAGATTTGCTTCCCTGCTCGTAACGGCAGACAAAGCGAGAGAAAGGAGTACAGTTTTAAATAAAAATCTGGCGGCATTGAAATGAAAAGTTTCAAGCGGTTGTGTTGTTAATGCTTTTGTCTTTTTTAAAAATATTATTCTTGTCGGAAATTAAACTAGCTGGTATAGCAAAATAAATGTGCACCTATGGCGGGTTCATTAGTTCTTCAAATATTACCTTGAAACTAATTGTGTTATGTTAAATTAATAATACTAATATATTGATATTTTGCTCATTTCAGTCTATTTTTGCTTCTGTTTAGCATCGCCGTGGTTGATGTGCAACATTAACATACGTTGGGGTAAAGGTTGGAATAAGGCAGAAGACTAAATTGTCCAAAGTCACAGCTACTTATTTCCGGTCTTCACGGTTGACCAAGGACCCGGCCCTTCTAGACCAGGTCCTTCACAAGACCCAGCCCCTGAATTTGAACACAGCCATTAAGGTCTTGTCACTATAACGTTTTAGGCAACTAATGATGGCTTATAAAAATTTTGTCCATAACTAAACTTTTCACAAGTTGGCATAAGTTGTCTAAAACATTATTTAGAGAACATTACTCTTCAAAGTATTATCAAAAACAGTCCCTCAAAGCATCAACCTGCTCTGCAGATGTACTAAATGGCTCAATTTTTTTTTTTCAGATTTTACTTTGATGCACTCACTTGGGGGCTGTGGTGTCTTGGTTGTCAGTGCTGCTGCAGGTTTGAGTCCAGGTTGCGTCAGGAAGGTTATCTTGTGTAAAACAATTGGCAAATCTATTATGTGCGTTCACTCACTGTGGTAACCTCTGCAGAAATACGCAACTGAAAGAAAGACAACAACAACTTTTGACAAACTCATTTATTGAATTATCATAAAAAGTGTCTTTTTTTTACTCAGCGGCTGCCTTCAAACTTGGTATTGATTGTTCCAAACCCCACATGGGAAAATTTGTGGAAATCTGAGAATCAGTGGTCCAATTATACTGTCCTTATCATTTACAGTAAATATTGTTTCCACACATAGAACAGACTTACATTCACCAATATAAAACTCTGTAGTGGTTTACTTTAGTGTTCACAGAAGATAAAAGATTCTATTGTTCACCAGGGACAAAGCAAAATGTTGGCTGGTACATAATGTAAAACTAAATTACATATATTGTAAATATCAGTGAGCAAACTACCATACTTAAAGTTCTTACTTTGTCAGTTGTGTTGGTTAATTGCATCCTCAGACATAATAAACGAAATCAATAAAACTTTTAACCCCATGTACTTTCTGGAATTTATTTAATTTGTTTTCACTTGATAAATTATTCTATGGACGAAGACAGGCCTGTAAGAATATTCCTTCTACTTTTTTGAGTATGACAATGTAATCGCCAAGTAATCAAACTCTCTCAAGGATGCATGTTTCTCTTTTGTACAGGGACAGTATTTACTGAAGGAAGTGCCTCAGTTCTCTGTAATAATGTACCATGAATGGCACAAACAGTACAAGACCTCTGACAGACAGTCTAGAAAGGTGCAGAATGACCCGAATGTTGCCTGAAGAGAAAATCGGGACAAGCTGTAACCAATTTCTCTGTAATACTTTAGTAGAGATAAATGGATGTTGATTATTGTTTTACTGGTTGTAACTTTAGATGCATTTTAAGATTTTTGTTTTAACTGTTGTAATGTATGAAAATTTCAAGGAATGAACTTTGCATTGTTTGTTTTTTTTTGAATGTTCGCTAAAATCAAATGCACTGTTACCCTGTTGTAACAGCCTTTCAGTTTTTAAAGGATTTTGCACAGCTGTGTAAAAGTTGGTTGGTGGAATTTGTCCTTATTCAACCACAGGAGCGGTGCAGTGAGGGCGGTCACAGTTGACCGGTTGAGTTCTTGTTAATTCTAAATGGATTGTTGGTAAGGTCGAAGATCCAACAGAGCAGATCTGGTCTTTATGGGCATAACTTTCAGTGCAAGAAAATAAACATGGCAAAACAGCAGAAAAAATTCTGCGAAGTGTAACAAATTGTAATAAAAAATATATTGTAAGTGCATTGTTTGTGGGAACTAAATCAGCCTGTCTTATTCTCATTCCTTCTCAAAAGGATCCAGGAGCAGAGGGTACCGAAAGGACAGTTGTCATCCAGGAAAGGAGGCTCCACATTGGTGTGCACAATGGTTGGTGTTTCCTTGATAAACCCCAAGTGGTCGTGCTGGAGCCTGTTACTACAGGGGTCAGAGGACGAACAGACAGTTCCTCTAAAAAGAGTACACTGGTCAAGGACAGGTGAGCAGAAAGAACACATGTACGTGTGTATAGCAGAGCTGTAGCTGTAGGCTGCAGTGGATGGTGGAGCATAATTCTAATGTCAGATAAAACTCACAGACGTGCAGTTTTTTTTTCTTTTCTGTATTGCTTATTTTTATCTTATTTCATCAGGGTTTCCAGGCACGGTTTGCTTATAGCATATGATTGAAAGTTTATCTAGTAAAGTCAGCAAAAACTGTATTTTCCAAAATGCTCGGTGTGCATTAATGTCATTCATCTATGATAGTAGCTGAAGTCTGGTACCTAAGCTTGTTTTACCTCCTGTCTCCATATTACCCTTCCACTGTATTTGTATTACGCAATTCATAGAGAACATTTCTAGTTTTATTTGTTTGTCTTATTACATTATATGGTGTGTTGAGCATATTCTTTAAATTTAGCCACATCAGTTTTTGTTTTCTGTTATTGCTAATAATGTTGCAACATATAAAATTACCTTTGGGAATGAGAGTGTTCATTTCTGCAAGTGACTTCTAAATTGTGCTGCTCTACAAACACAGGTGCAAGCAACTTATCTCAAAAATAACCCAAGCAGTCTAGCAGGAGCAGTTCAAATTAACATTAAGTTGAGAACAAATAGATCTGTTGATTCAAATGGTCAACAACAGAGCTTGTTAGCTGTAGCAACAAAATGGTTCAAATAATCAAGAATCTGCTTAAGAGGTAAAAACAGACTTTTTTTTACACATCACTACTGCTACTTTGATACCTTTTTATTTTCTCTTTTTTATGGGTCATTAATCTTCAGGTTGAAGATTATAAATCCAACTTTGATAATAACGAATTTTTTTATAGTCAACCGATTATTATTATTTTTTCGATTAATCGACTAATCGGATCATACGTTAATTGAATACAAAACATACAGCTAATCACACCAGAATGCAGCGGCTATTATATAACCATCATTAGATTTCAGCTATATCCTAACTAAAAATAAAGACAATTAAGATCATAGTTCATTAAACCTTTTAATGAAATATACATTTTGTTTTAACAAACAATTATTTAACTGTGTAGCATAAAGTGTAAACAAATGAGTAAAATAAGTATAAGGCACCGGCTTAAACAACCCAAAAATGAATACATAAATAAATAAGTAAGGTTTTTCTTTCCTTCATTTGTCTCTGGCATCAAACATGGCTGCATTTAAATTAAACAAGGTAGGTACCTGAAACTAAGAAATTATTCACAAAAATAAAGTTTTGGTCTCACTGACTCAAATATTACAAAAGTGCATTTTGTGCTCGGTGCTCTCAAGTGAGTAAAATGTTATTAAAGGAAAATTAAATTTTAGGAAAAAACTTTCAGACGTGCCCAATGGGCCATTTTCCCACTAGCCAAATGTTTACCACTGTGTTATTATAACCATGTTTCATTCAAGAAAATATTAGCATAGAAATACACTGAGATCTTTTTGGTGACATTAAAGTTCAGTTTAGATGAAGATATAGACCGTCAAACTCAAGTTCTGATGCATCAAATAAAACCAAATTAACAAATATTTTTAATAAACAAACTTGAAGAGCTGTTAAGAGTATTAGTGCAACAAGTATTGCATTACCGGTACTCCTTTATTAGTTAGTTTTGGATCATCTTAACTTGATCTAGTCATTTGATTGGAATAGCAGCATTAATAATCCATGTATTATGTTTGTATTTTTTTTCTGGAATTGTAGATATCATAAATAAAGAATACCTTTTTTTCTCTCCTTGCCCTTTGCTGAGTGCATGTGCCTCTTCTACTCAACAAACGTGTTGTGAAATGTTCCCTTTTTCTCAATAAATACTGATACAGCAACCAGAAAAATTTACAGTGCAAAGTAAATCTGTCTGCATAATTCCTTTAATTAATCCCCAGCCCAAATTTTGCACTGTGAAAAGGAAACTCAGATAATTACACTTGCAAGAGTCAGGCACAAACTTCTCTGTGCACCTTTTAATGTGCTTACTTAGCAAGTCAACTCGTTTGTAACATTAAATTTTCAATGGCAAAACAGAGTTGCACCAAATGTGTTACGATAGGAATACATCTGGGAGAAACTATATATATATA